GAATGGCTAATCCAGCTTGTTTCTTGGGACCATTGGCTTGGAAAATTGTTTTCCACCCTTTTATTCTGAGGTAGTGTCTGTCTTTGTCACTGAGGTGCGTGTCTCGTATGCAGCAAAATTCTGGGTCTTGTTTGTGTATCCAGTCTGATAGTCTGTGTCTTTTTATTGGGGAATTGAGACCATTGATGTTAAGAGATATTAAGAAAAAATGATCGTGGCTTCCTGTTATTTTTGTTATTAGAGGTAATGTTATGTTTGTATAGTTATCTTCTTTTGGAGTTGTTGGAAGATTACTTGCTTGCTTTTTCTAGGTTGTAGTTTCCCTCCTTGTGTTGGCGTTTTCCATCAGTTATCCTTTGAAGTGCTGGGTTTGTGGGAAGATATTGTGCAAATTTGGTTTTGTCATGGAATATCTTGGTTTCACCATCTATAGTGATTGAGAGTTTTGCTGGGTATAGTAATCTGGGCTGGCAATTGTGTTCTCTTAGGGTCTGTATGATGTCAGTCCAGGCTCTTCTGGCTTTTATAGTCTCTGGTGAGAAGTCTGGTGTAATTCTTATAGGTCTGCCTTTATATGTTACTTGACCATTTTCCCTTACTGCTTTTAGTATTTTTTCTTTGTTTTGTGCATCTGATGTTTTGATTATTATGTGACAGGAGGTATTTCTTTTCTGGTCTAGTCTATTTGGTGTTCTGTAGGCTTCTTGTATGTTTATGGGCATCTTGTTCTTTAGGTTAGGGAAGTTTTCCTCAATAATTTTGTTGAAGATATTTACTGGCCCTTTAAGTTGGGAATCTTCATTCTCATCTATACCTATTATCCTTAGGTTTGGTCTTCTCATTGTGTCCTGGATTTCCTGGATGTTTTGAGTTAGGAGTTTTTTGCATTTTGCATTTTCTTTGACAACTGTGTCAATATTTTCCACCGTATCTTCTGCAGTTGAGATTCTCTCTTCTATCTCTTGTATTCAGTTGGTGATGCTTGCATCTATGACTCCTGATCTTTTTCTTAGGTTTTCTATCTCCATGGTTGTCTCCCTTTGAGCTTTCTTTATTGTTTCTATTTCCAGTTTCAGATCCTGAATGTTTTTGTTTAATTCCTTCTTTGTGTTTTCTTGCATTTCTTTAAGGGATTTCTGTGATTCCTCTTTAAGGGCTTCTATCTGTTTACTTGTAGTCTCCTGTATTTCTTTAAGGGAGTTACTTAATTCCTTCTTATAATCCTCTATCATCATCATGAGAAGTGATTTTAATTCTGAATCCTGCTTTTCAGGTGTGATGGGGTGTTCAGGGCTTGCTATATTGGGAGAACTGGGCACTGATGATGCCAAGAAACTTTGGTTTCTGTTGCTTATGTTCTTGCGCTTGCCTTTTGCCATCTGGTTAACTCTAGTGTTACCTGCCCTCACTGTGTAAGACTGGAGTCTGTATTTCCAGTTATCTTGCTTATTGCAGAGCTCCTCGGAGTCCAGATGTCTCTGTGGTCTTATGCTCCTAATCTCCTGGGTGGAAGAACTCCTGGGACTCAGGCCACCTGTTGGATCTGGAAATCCTTCTGCTCTGAGTGCAGTGGGTCCTCGATGACTCAGGATTCAGTTTCAGCTGCTCTGAGTGCAGTGGCTCCTCGATGACTCAGGATTCAGTTTTTCCACAGGACAGGAGCAGACTGACTCTGTGTCTGCACCAGCCCAAAGGACCAGGCAGGAGTGGAAGGGAAGTGGAATTCTGGAGGGGCGGGGTTTGGGTAGCTGCTGTGCCCTGAATGTCCCTGGCTCCCAGATGTATCTCTGGGGCTTAGGGAGTGAGATGGATTTCTTACCAGCTGCTCTGAGTGCAGTGGCTCCTCGATGACTCAGGATTCAGTTTCTCCACAGGACAGGAGCAGACCGACTCTGTGTGTGCTCCAGCCCAAAGGCGATTCTCAACTCTTAAGGATAACATCCCACATTAAAATCCCAGCCTCTTGACCTAAAATCACATAGCAAAAGACAACTGGAACCAAAGCAATATTTCAAGCATTAATAAATATCCCTAGCCCAAAATCACTAGAACAATCACAGTCCTCCCTACAACATTCAATTTAAATGAAATTGAAAAGACACAAGTCAAAATAGAATTCAAAGACTCTAAAACAAGGTCAAAGGGCATAAAGAGGAAACAAGGTCCTAAACTCAAAGAGAACAGGAACAAACTGATTGAGGGACAAGAGAACTCTTACAAATGGCTGAGAAAATAATGAGGATATGGCAGGATGTGAACATCACAAGCTACAGAGAGAGAGAAGTCTATGAAATCCTCAATTGGAAATAAAACAAGAAATAAAGAACTCCGTAAGCCTGATCGTAACGCTATAAAGAGCCTGTTCATTGAGCTGTAGCATGCAGAAGACAAATATCAGTGTTTCAAAGCAAGGAGAAGGAACTGGATCACCCCATCAAATAAATCATAGCATAACTAACTAACTAGCTAACGAATAAATAAATAAATAATAAATAATCAATCAATCTTGCTGCATTTTTGAAGCAATATTAAAACAAAAAAGTGAAATTCATGCCAGGCACAGTGGAGTAAGTCTTTCAGCCCAGCACTCAAGAGGCAGAGGCAGGCATAGCTATGTGAGATAGAAGCAAGCCTGATATCTGTGTCAGGTCACAGTCCAGGCAGGGATACAGAGGGAGACTCTGTTTCAGAAACAAACAGAAAAGCTAGTTAAATGTCCATCCTACCAAAAGTAATCTACATATTCAATTTATTCCTCATCCAAATTCCAGTCTGTATGTTACAGACAAGAGTGATAAAGTGATGTGCCAGGCACAAATGCCCTTTCCCTTGAAAATTCCCGCAGTTCTGTGCCCATTTTCCTTACCATCGTGATCCTGACCGTGAATCCTCTGTGCACAGAATATTAAATATTATAAACTCATGGCATCATTTCATATTTTCCTCACTACCAAAATTCTGTTGTGCTATCGTTATATTTTCGCTTATATGAACTGCGGCTTATGCTGATGTTTTCATTCATGTTATGGTTGTTAGACTTTTTCTCTGAGGGGTTCAGAACTATCAGATATCGGGGTGAAACATCCTACCAGATCCAGTTCTGGTCTAGCTGGCAGCAGGCATTGATTGGGGCGAAGGGTCATGCAGAGCAAGTCCAGCGCAGCTTGACAGCTGGAGCTGAGTAACAGGAAGCCTAAGACTGAGTCAGAGGGACAAGTATCCCTGGGGCGCGGATACCCTTAGGACTAAGAGAGTGACGCAAAAAGAAAAAAGGCTGGGTGGAGTCTACAAAATAAGGAAGGAAAGCGCGGAGTTTGAAAGGCTTTAGGGGAATCATATGACCATAACCCGAGTGTAGTGGGCGGATCTAGAAGTATCCCAGGTCAGAGTGACAGGAAAATCTACCATTCCTCTTGCTACCTGAGTGAGCCACGTGTGTCCTAACCACAGGCCGGTTTCCACGTCGGAATTCTCATCGGACCTTGGAAAAGTCTCCTCAGACCCGGTTCCCTGGCTGCTGGCCTGGGAGAGTCAGCAGTCAACAGCGCGGCGGCGGGGACCGCAGCCCGGCGACCCTGGAACCTCCCAGGTCAGAGGAGCTGCGGGGCTGGGAACCGGGCGGGAGCGGAGCAGGGGGTGTTTTCCGCAGCTGCTCTTAGGAGGCGGCTCTCACAATGCTGTTGTGGATATCTTACCGATGTCGGAAAGTTTGAGATCTGGTGTTTATCGTGGTGGGTTTGTTTGTTTGTTTGTTTGTGTTTGTTTGTTTTTAAACCCTACGGTTACCAGAATATTCAGTCATTAACTCATTAAAAATGTGGTAGAGCAGTTGCGTTATCTGCTGTTTGCTGGGTTGGCAATTACAAAGCTCCTGGAACGTAAATTCTTTTATGCTTTCTAACTTCCTCGTATTACTAATTGCTTATTAAAAAGAATGCCTTCATCCCTGCTTAACAGGAACCCCCAGAGAGCTTTGTGAAGAAATATTTTGTAGAGATTTGCTGTGAAGAGGGTTGCATAAGAAACCGGTGCAGATTTTATTGAACCGGAAAATATGCTCTATTGAGCGCTACAGTTAGGGCTATACACATTAACATTTACTAAGCAGACTTTTTAGTGGCCATGAATGTTTCATCTGAGTTTTATGCAGTTTAGGATGTACATAAAACATTCAGAAATGTGTCTTCATATGCTGAGTTTTTATGTTACACCTTAGACCAGGCAAACCCAGTATTGCTGTGTGAGTGTATCACACCACACTATTTGTATAATTAGAAAATCCACTATAGTTTAAAATAAAGTTTTAGAAAGTATCTTTTGAATAATTATTATCAATCACCTGTATCAGAAAATTGTCTCCTTAGTTGAAGGAAAGCACTTTGCCAATACGCATGTAGCCAAGTTGTTGTTTTTTATTTTAGGGTTTGTTATTCAGGGATGTGACTGTGGACTTCTTGTAGGAGGAGTGGGAATGCCTTGACCCTGCTGACTGTGCTTTTTTGCAGAAATCTCCCTTTGGTCAAATGCAACAGTCTGGTTTCTGTGGGTGACAATAGTTTTCTTGAAGTCTCCCTAGCTTCTTCTCAAGATTCCTGGGAAAACGACTCTGCATGTGTCTGAGCTGTGAGCGAATGAGTCTCACATCTCACAGAGTGAAGTGAAATCGTTAGATGAAAAGGGACATTCTTTTTTTTTATTGGATGTTTTATTTACATTTCATATGTTGTCCCCTTACCCCATCCCCCACCCACCCAGGAACCCCCTATCCCCTCATCCCGCCTCCTCCTTCTCTGCGGATGTAACCCCTACCTACCCCCCAACTCCCACCTCCCCACCCTCAAATTCCTACCCCCTGGGGCGTCCAGCCTTCATGAGGTCAAGGATCTCTTCTTCCACCTATGCCCAGCAATGCCATTCTTATTTGTGATATTTTCTCTCTCCCTCATGTTTATCCTGTTGGAGGCATCATTTATTTTTGTTCCATGAAAAGTTCTGAGTGCTTTCTGATGAATTTTTTCCATATGCAAGGGCCCACTACTCAGTCAGTGCTGCTCACCTGTGAGTCTGAGAGCCCTGGATGGTGAAGAGAGGAAACTATAGCAAAGGATCCAGGTATGCTAGAGGGATGGAGGAAGGGATGAGGAGGGGCACAAGTCCCAGTACAAAGAGGACATGAGATTCCTTTTGCCAGATTCTATTTCATTCCAAATATTTCTGGACAATTTCACAGACAATAACATCAGAATATTCCCATTGTAGGTATTAGAAGACTCTCTATGTGAGAATTAATATAAAGAGATAAATGTAATTTAATTTGGTTTTGTATGTGAAGGGTGCTGTCCCCTTCTCATTCACATCACTGATCATATCTTCTTATCAATCTAAATATTTTCATTATTATAGCTTTAGTATTCTGTTTAGTCAGATCAGTTGTTGCCTCTTAGTCTTTCCTGCTCTTCGAGTTTTGGAGCATTTTGTAGATTTTTTTAAGTTCTCTTATCTTTTATGGTTAATTTCTCCATTTCCTAAAATAATGCCAGCAGGATTTTGATAAGATTTGGTTAATATCTGTGAAGACTATAAAGTTACAGCTACACTGCCTTCCACTGATAACTCTGTAGTCTGTCTTTATGTTAACAATACATGGTTTATGTAGCTTTAATTGTTGTATATTTTGAAGTCACCTCTGGGTATCCCCCGCCTCTCAAAATTTTTGAAGTCTTATGGCTCTTCAATTTTAAAAATTTTAGGAAGATTTTCTTTACATAAAACATACCTATAGGATCTTGGTACCAATTTCTTACAATCTTCATAAAACACAAACATGTTTTTATATTTCTTCACCCGTTTGAATGAGAACATGCAAGTGGTGAGTCAGTATTCACATGTTTTTAATGTATTTTTCTGTTCTCTATCTACTGTTGATGTAGGCATTCCAGGACAATGGAATTCTTGGAGAAGACACTTCTGAAACATTGATCTTTCCTAGGTTAGTAGACTTGTTCTATTTCTAAGATATGGTCACAGTAGTGCATGCTGGTTGAAGTTTGAGAAGATTGAGCATCTTTTACTGTTGTGTGCATGATTCTCTGCATCCCTGCTAGGTATCATTAGTTTTCTGTGTTGTTCATGGTTATCTTTCTCAATAGTTGACATGAAGCTTCCTGTATCACTGTCTATCTGCTTCCTACAGTTCTGTCATTGATTGTTTCATGTATTTGGACATTGTTTTCTAAAATTTGTGTGTTGATAAATAGCTTTCTAGAAATGGAACATTTGATCCTTTGTTAATAAACTTTGTTTTGTGTGTTGATATGTCTGGCTTTTCCTCTTACCTGCCACAGTTGTGACCAACCTTCTTCACAGCAAATCTTTACAAAATATTTCTTCACTCTAACCCTTTGTATCCTTACATTTGAAGTAAATATTTTCATAGAAAGTATATATTTTGAGTTTAGTGTGTTTTTGTTTTTCTTTAGAAGCTGTATCTCATTTTCATGTTTGGTTTGGGGAATAGTATCTATGTTCATTCACAAAATTACTGAAGGAATATAGAAACACCTAAAACCACTTTGTTCATTTTTCTTTATGACATTTTTTTCCTCTTTCTGGGTTTCTTTGTATTTCATTGATATTTTGCAGTATATTTCATTCCTTGAGAAACTTGAGTAGTATTTTCTCTAGGTTCTTGTTTGGTCCTTCACAAAGTTGCACACTGCTTGGCTGGTGGCTTCGGTGAGTTGAATTCCTATGACACTGTTTCTCTGTGTTCTCCTTCCTACATTGTCTCCAATTTTTGTTATTGTTTGGGACCTTGAGTGTGGACACTGGCTAGACAGGAAGAAGATCATGGTGTACATGAAACGTGCATTTCTTTGTGACTAAATGTTTTGAGCATGTACTATTAAATTTTGGCTCTTTCAACTGTTTTTTTTTTTCTTTCACTTTTTGGAATTACAATATTATTTGCTTTGTGTTTTATTTTTAAACTTGGGAAAATCTGCAGATTTGTTTATTATACTATGAAATGTTTGTGATAGATATCTTTAGTCTCTAGGCTGATTCTTCATACACTCAGTTATTACAATTTCCCTGCAAGTTTTTAATTGCATGCAATCCAGTTGGTGGGATCTAGCTTGTGTGTCTTGTTAGTTGGTGATCTGTTCAGAAACTAGGCCCCTATGTCTGTATATGGATTTATTTTTCCTTGTGTTCCTCTGTAAGTTTCACCAATTCATTAAATTTGACCTGATTTCATTAATTTATATGTTATTTACTTTTCCATACAGCACTTGTTGATAAAGCTGTCTATTTTTGTAACATAACTTTTGATGCATTGGTGAAATTTAGTTGATCCTAGATGCTTGGGCTTTTTCAGACTCTGCTGCTCTTATTGCCTGGGTGTTTGCCATGCTGCTTTTTTTTTTACTTGTACATCTGCAATATCATCCAAAATCACAGATGCTATGACTCAAGCTGGCTCCATGTTTCTGGGGTTACTCAACATACTCATGATCTTTGTGCCACCATATATATTTGTAGGACTTTTTTTTACCATATCTGTGAAGTAAATCATGGGGAGCTTGTCGGTGAGTTTTAAGTTAATCATGTAAATCTTCAACACTGAGATTTTTCACCGTAACATATTCAATTCCATGTGCATGTTTTCCATCTTCCCATGTCATTCTTTATTTCTTCAATGCATTTAAGTTTCCATTTTAAAGGTCTGTCTTGTTTTTGGTTAGTTTTTTAAAAAACTATTTCTTCTTTGTTTACTGTTCAGATTTAATTGAATACATAAAGCAATAATATAGTGTAAGACTTTTCTAATTGTGTGGTTTTATAGATGATAAAAAATTCTTCCTCCAAATAGACATTTATCTCCTTTAACATCCTATTTGTATAAATTGTTTGCTTTTTATAATTAACAAATGGTGATATTTATTTATTGCATTGCTCTGTTCACTTACAGCGTTAGCCCTTTGTCATCCTCTGTCCCATGTTGGGTTAGAAATGTTTTCTTCCCAGTTGTCTTCCACATATTTCATGAATGATTTTTGTCCAGGATTGGGCCAGGTAGCCAGGATGTCACATGTCCATAATTTCAATTGTCATGTCCTATAGCAAGTCTGTTTTTTATGTGCCACCTCCCCATCTTCCAGCTCTTGAAATCTTTTCTTTTCTCTACTATAATATTCTTTGAAATTTAGATGTGGAGGGTATGGAATTTCCATTATAGCATAGGCAGTACGAAGTCAATGGTTCTCAGTATTTGAGCAGTTGAGTCTCCTTCTTACATAACTGTTGCCCACTGAAAGCACAGTTTCTTGGACCAAGGCTGAAAGTAGTACCAGGCTATGGTGTGAACAGAACCATACAAAGGCTGCTTGAGTAGTTGAACACGTAGATAATGTCAAGCCCTTCTAGGACTTACGATCTTTCCAATCACTGGCTTTTGTTTCTGCATATTTCCTTCTGTGGGGCTGGCCTCAGAATCAGAAAACCTTCTGTTACCCACAAAATCATTGACACGATGACACCGTTGGGCATACCTTGCCTTGCAGATTGAGATTATAGCACACAGATCCAAATGTGGGTATGGCCATTTTTAACATGGCCCCTTGCCCAAGCCGGCATGGCAGTTTTTGACACTGTGAGGGTCCAAGATATATTTGTAGACATTGTGTGTGGTCTGCTGAATTCTAAGCATCTTCTTATTGGTATAGGAAAAAAACAAAAAACAGGTGAGGTTGTATGTCAGGTGTGTAGCATATTATGATACTGTTAGGTGTCAGCTTTCTCGTGGATTTATAACTTTAAATTGCAGAATTCTATTTTTTAAATAAGCAGCCCACTTGCTTTCTTACTCTCCCATATTGTCTCATTTAAAATTTTCTCTGTCCATGAACTGTGTACCCACTGATGAAATGTGTTGGGTGTGAAGGACACACTTCTCTGTTCTGATTAGAGGGAATTGATTTCAGCTGTCCTTTTGTATTGTTAGGTTCAGGTTTGTGTCTCGTTGTATTCATTGGGTACAGGTATATTCCTTTTGTTCTCATGTTCTTCAGAGGACATATTTTTACAAGGGACATATGTGATATTTAGCCACAGGCTTTTCAGGGATCTATTGTCATGGTCATGTTTCTTTTGAATCTACATATTTGTGTCTTAACACTGATTAATTCTTAGGTGCTAAAAGAGTCTTATATTCTTGGCATTAAATCTGCTTGTATTCCATTCTCATGTAATTTAGAGACAATCTCTTTGTCTCTGTACATCCTTGGCAACATCCTTTGATTTTTCTTTGTGTATATTTGTTTGGACTTAACTGCTTTTTGGGTGTTGAGGTAAAGCTATGATGATTTCTAGTGTTCTTTTTATTTGAGTTTGAGACAATATTCTTCTTGTGCGGTATTAGTATAAAATTTGTTTAAAGGAAAGAAGCCTTCTTTGGTGAATCTGCCCATCTCTCAGACATCCTTAGAGCAGTTGTTTACTACTTAAGTCTCAGTACTGCTTAATGCCTTTCCTAGGTTTGTAGTGTAGAAGATTGAATTGTTCACTTGTTTCTAAGAGGTTGTCCTTTCTTCTTCAATACTTGTGTGTGTGTGTGTGTGTGTATTTGACTTTCCACAGCACTCCATAACGTATCATTGATGTCCCTAGCATACATTACGATGTTCCCTGTTCAGCTCTAGTTCCCTTACTTGGGGATTCACATTTTTAGTTTGGATTAGGTGAAAAATGGATCCTCAGATTTTTTTTTTTTGGTCCCTTCACAGAAACAAGTCTGTTGCCTTGACTCATTAAAATATCTTTGAGACCTTATTCTATCATTTTCTACACAACCTTACTAATATCTTTCTATATACTGTTTCAGAGTGACTTGTTCTTATGCCAGAAGCCAGAAACCACATAATTATGGACAAATGCTTTTTACAACCAGCACCTCTTATTGCCAAAATTTCTCAGTGTTTCTGTGTCACCTCATTTTTGTGTGTCTGTATCTTTTATGAGCTGGCTGGCACTCAGGGTTATATTCTAAGAAAGTTTCTTCAGTAATCCATGAATTCTCTCACTGTTCATTGATTTGAGTGTCTACAATAGCTAATTAAGGAACAATTAACCAAGTGCTGTAGAGGTGGCTCAGCAGTTAAGAACAGTTGTTCATCCAGTTTCTAGGCTCAGTTCCAAGTATATGCATGGTGACTTTACAGTCTTCTGTAACTCAGGTTCTAAAGGATCCATTGTCCTCTTATGGGTACTGCAGGTATAGCAAGTAAGAAATGCACTGTCCTACCTCCAGGCAAACACCCATACATAGCAAATTAAAATTCATAAATCTTAAGAAAAAGAAACAGTAAATAATTTGGAGGTATTATATAATGATTCAAGTTAACAGTACAGGTAAGAGTTTAGAGGTTTTTCTGCTAGTGTGAGAGTAAGTGTGGAGCCTGAATAAGTGATTTCAAATGGCCAAACTTAAGGAATAAATGTCAAGTCAGTGATATGTATTGGTTTTTATTGTTTTGTGCTGGGGACCAGCCCTGACTGTTCTCCTTTCTGGTTCTGTTTCAAAGGTAGCAGAAGAGGAGAAGAGTGCTGGCCAGGGAAAAACTTGGTCTTGGGAGATATTAGGGTTGCTGTTTGAATACATTTACCTGTCTTAAGTCTAAGTGACTTTCCTGTGGTAACTGACCTGCTTGTCTGAGTTCCTCTGAGGCCAAGAAAACTTTAGTCTCTTGCATTTATCACCTCACAGTAAAACAGTGGGGGATTAAGTAAAGTAGCCTTTGTTCTATCTTTACAGAAATTGTTTGATTCTAACTCCCAGCTTGTTAGTTGAAGTCACAGGAAGAAAAAGGTATAATTTGAAAAGTGATTTTAGCCTTTATTTGTAAGTTATCTGTAAAAAGTTTTTCTCTTGCTCTCTAAAATGTTCTCCAAAGCTTTCTCTAAAAAAGTTCTCTGCTCTCTTCTAATCTT